CGAGCCGAGCGGCACGTTTAGAACTTGCGACGAGTTGTTAATATGCACAGAACTATTCAAAATTATTTTGATGTCCTGTGGATTTCCTAAAAAAGCGAGTACTCTTGGATCGAAATATGCACTTGCTATCAGCCCATATTCATCCCACACTTTTAATAATTCAATAACCAAAGTATTAGGAAACATTCCTAAAGGCATTAATGCATGACCAAAGATAGGCACGGATGGTGGGTCTAGAAAAAAAAGACAAAATTTAATTAAATATGATTGTATAAATTTATTTTAATAAAAATTGTATTATGATAAAGTATAGTATACAATGTACCACATCAATAAAGTCTTCTGATTTAAAATTTTGACTTTAAACTCAGTTTTGGATTGACAAATTTTATAGCCAATTAACAAACTATTGAAAGTTGCGAGCTATTCATTAATAGTCATCAAAATACATAGACATAGAATATATAGATGCGTTTGACATGAAAATGCCTAATCAAAAGTATAATGACACCGCACGTAAAAAATAATGTTCAAGTTAAAATCTTGAAACTTAAAAAGTAGTCAAAATACTAATCTAGTACATACGTGGTAATTTCTTTATAAGACGAGCTGCTCGAGAAGTCTCAATGTAATAGTAGGCTACGATTAATATTACGACGCGGCTACGATTAATATTACGACGCAGCATAATCTACAGCTAACAGAGAAACAGCTATGATTCGTAAACACAAAATTGTTTCTGCAATCGTATCTATTGCTGCGATCGTACTAACGATACTTTTGAATCCACTCGTAACCTGCAATTAATAAGCTCGTAGACAGGAAAGAAACAAAATAAATTTTGCTTAATCCATACAGCACACAAAGATTCCATACACATTGCATCAATTTTTCATCGCAATGTTGCAATATTGCAAATTCACTGCAAAATGTTGTTGCATCATTGCTGTGGGATTGCAGCAACGTTAAAATGTCCGCTTTTAGGAAGATTTTAACGAAATATTACAGTAATATTGCTATGTAATGAATTTGCAATAATGCATTGTTATTGCAATCTTAGAATAATGTTGCATATATTTTTATTTATTCAGACATTTATTTGTCCGATTTTTGAACAATTAATTCAATATCTGAATTCCCTGTGTTGGGGTCGTATCAGAAAAATTAAATTGATAAAAATAATTACTATGTCTTTAATTTTACTAGCCACTCTTTGCAAGTTTCATATAATCATCATGACTAATATTTAAATACGAGATAGATTTTGCAACGCGCGTTGCATAGCGGTAAACGAACGAACTAGCGATTACCGAATAATGCTATTCCAATGTTGTTGGAATGTTACTGTCACATTCTCATGAAATATTACAATTACATGTTGCAGTATGGTCTCAACAATATTACATTGAAACTTGCAAGATTGTAACATTGCTGCAATGTAATTGCAATGTTCTGTACTGTATGGGAAACCTTCAATTAAGTATAGGCAAAATATAAACGACTTGTGTCGCAGTTTGAATAATAATGTGGGAGAATAACTTTTCGTACATCGGCGTACGTCGATCTGACAATGAGTTGTGTTAGGAACGAGTCAACGGTTGGTGTTAATTTAATTGACCATAAAGTATACATTAAAATTGTATGTTTTATTGGATCATGAAATATTTGCTGTTTTAGTTTAATTGTACAAGGCGTAACTTTTTGAAAGCACAATCGTTCCTTCGTAAAATCTCTCAAAATTATTTTCCATCCGACCAAATATTAAAATATTCTACTTGGGACAGTTCAATTTCTGTAGATTTTGCAGATTCTAGAAGAAAAATAATTATATGTATTTACTTACTTGTAATATTTGTCATTTGACTTCTTGTATGCGACTGCTTTCTATTTTTTAAACTTAAAATTTCAATAATAAGAATTCGCTACGATGATATCCTAGCTATTCAAGCAGTCATAACAAGAATTTCGAAAAAAGATCTTCAAGAGTCTACGCACGCATTGATTGACCGTGAGAATTAAAAGTTTTAGTCAATTAAAAAACACAAAGTTTTATAAATTTACATTAAATAAATTTTGCAGCCGCAAAAATACATTGAACATAGAGAAATTTTGTCGTAAGCACAATTATTACCGAAAATATCAGAACATTTCCGTTGCCACCACTGGCCGAATTGCGATGAATTGCCATTATTATAAGTGTAAGAAGATAGCCGCCGAATGCGAGAAATGAGAGAGCAGTTATTGCCAGTTGGAAGATTTTCGAAATCTTTGTGTCTTTGCCTTTTTCATCGTAATGATCCCCGTATCGTCGTGTAGGCTTCTTGCTACTTCTTCTCAATGGCAGTGCTATTGGCAGCGTTAGCGGTAATTTCTTGCTAGACGCGTACATATCGTCGTTTTCATTTTTATCAGTGGTATCTATAAATATAAAAATAAATATAAAATTTAGAAAGCTCTGAGAGAATAAGTATAACGATATATACATAATGTATAATAACAGTTGAAATAAAATGTATTTTCAACTTTCTTTCCTTTTCTTCTCCTTTTTTCACCCTACCCCCTCCCCTCCTCCTCTTTTATAACATTTGATTTGTTCTTGTCCCCCCCACCACTAATTTTAATAGATTTTTCCATAAGACGTGGTGGGGCATTTACTATAAATAATGCGGTAATGCAGCAGTCATGCCAAAAGTGCCATCGCTACTGCACAGTAAAGAGCATTAGCTCTTCTTGCATAAGCAATGGCAGGGGATGACGATGTGGACTACATTTCTGAACTACTACCAAAAGTTGCGAGCATAATTTTAAGAAAGCTCGATACAAGGTCTTTACTTTCTTTCAGTTTGGTTTCCCAACACTGGAAAGGGTTAGGTAACTATGAAATGACGCGTCGATTTGCGGCAGAATACAACGTAAGTCTTTTTCAGATATTGAAGCATTGAATTATTTTTGTAGATTAAAGATAGAAATAAAAAATGTATATAAGTTAGATTTATGTGTGCTTGCGTGATGAATAGTAAAGTATTAGTAAACATAAATATACATTAGCAAATTCGCGAAACTGACGAAAGTTCTTGGAACCCCATAAGAGGACCAAATAAAGAGTATTATATAATAAAAGATTTACAATAATTTACCATTTTTGCTTGCAAGAGAAGATTTAATTTGAATGAGTTTGTCCATTGGTAATTCGCTTAAGCTGCGAATTTCATTCAAATATAAAGATGACTGATCTTCGGATGCCACTTTTAAAATGCAAAATGCACACAACACTAATATATTGCGATACATAGTTGGAGTTCTGAAGTTTTTAGTGATTAATATACAACGTAACATGTTTTAAGTATCGCAAAATGTTAAAATTTAATTTTCAATATATACTTATAAGAATAAGCCAAGTAACTTCCGTTTGATATGTCAAATGCCTTTTGAACAGATTCTTTTAACAATAACGACGATAGCTACGCGAATTTGAGATGTTATTTCCAGCACCTTTGCCACTTTAATAATTCTTTTTACTACTTCTAATAGGAATACGACTAAACTAAAAATCGCGCTGCGAAACACGGTTGCCATTTTCTCGCGCTTTGCTGGCAAAGCAAGAAGAATGACATTCGCATTTTCTTCCGTCGGAGACGCAACGGAATGGAAATAAACGCACAGTTAACGCAAAACATCCGTTATGATTCTGTTTTACGAAGATCCTCAACAGTCTCAGTGCCGTGGGACAGTTTGATTTGACGAAATGTCCAGTGTTTCCTCTTGTCTCCTGTTTTGCTTTTTTTGAATAACTATATTTGACGGTGTACAGCTCGCAAAGACCGAAAGTAAGCCTGTTTTTCTTTTACGAAGTTTATCTTTTACGCGTGTATTGAAACTTTGCTATTATATTATAATTGATAACCAGTAAGTGATAATGGTAATCGGTTAATTATCAACTTTAGTTTGAAAGATTCGTCCGTCGAACGTGATTTAAGTTGGAAACGGTTCTTTCTCACTCTATAAGGCTTTTCAAGACCTTTTGAACGAGACCTACGTTTGCCTATCTATCTGGTTTTATTTATGAAATAATTCAGTTTTTCAGTGATTTTAGTTTATCGATTCTGTCTTTGAACATAATTGTTTATCCAGGAAAAAAAGAATAATTGCATTTTTTTTTAATTTTAGATGTTCTAGAGGGGTTCAAAGGGGGTAGTGCATGCGTAACACACGATGCGGATTCCAGCTAGCATCGCATAGCTTCTCCTACCCAATTCCTATCCTCACCTCCACGAAGCGTAGCAAAAAGCACGCGGGTGAACCCCGGAGAACCGGAGCAACCTTGCCAGAGACTGCGTAACCAACCCCAGTGGAAAGCAAGGTCAGGGCAGACGAGGAAGGGAGAGATGGTCCTCCGATATAAGGGGGTTTGGCTAAGGGCTAACAACCCATTCCAGTAAAAAAGAGCTTATTACGAAACCTTCAAAGACGCCTTGGATGTCAGGACGGAACGCCAGGAAACGACTTAAGCAAAGAAATATGGAACTAGAATTGGGATCTTGGAACGTGAGAACTCTGCTGAAGCCTGGAGCACAAAGGAATCTGCTAGACGAGCTTAAAAAATATGGAATCAAGATTGCAGCAATACAAGAAACAAGATGGCCAGGGCAGTCAATTAGAGACACAAGAACGCACACGATCCTGCAAAGTGGCAAACTGCAGGGAAACAGGGAATTTGGAGTGGCCTTTATAATTGACAGAAGCATAAAGCATAGTATATTGGACTTTCAAGCGGTGAGTGAAAGGATCTGTGCACTAAGAATAAAAACTAAATTCTTCAACATATCCTTTATAAATGTTCATTGTCCCACAGAGGATAAAAATAGGGACATCAAAGAGCAATTTTACCAACAGCTAGAGCGAGTGTATGACAACACCCCAAAAAATGACATAAAGATTGTAATAGGGGATATGAATGCACAAATTGGAAGGGAAGAAGGATACGTTGGCATAATAGGGAAACATAGCTTGCATAGTGAATCCAATGAAAACGGAGAAATGTTAATAGACTTTGCAGCAAGTAAAAATATGATAGTCAGCTCAACATGCTTCCCACACAGGGATATACATAAGGCTACCTGGATATCGCCAGATGGACTAACGGCCAACCAGATTGACAATCTCTTAATAGAAAGAAGAGGAGCCACAAGCATTCTGGACGTCAAAGCAAGAAGAGGGGCGTCATGTGGAACAGACCATTTTCTTCTGCAGGCCAGATTTAGAAGTAAAATCCAGAAACAACAACGCAGTCATACACAACGCTCAGAAAAAATTGACTTAGAAAAACTGAAAGATCAGAGAACGAGAGAGAAATATGAATCAGAAGTGAGCAGGAAGATGCAGAGCGTGGACGGTCAAACAATGGAGGAACTTTGGGAAGTTATATGGGAGAACGACTATAATGACAACGGCCAAAGAGGTGATAGGAACACAAAAACGCCGACGCAAAGAAACATGGTATGATAATAAGTGTGCGGAGGCTGTGGAGGAGAGAAACAGGCTGCATAGGATATACATACAAAGAAGAACGCGAGAAAGAAAAGCCGATTTTGAGCAAGCAAGAAGAAAATCGGATAAAATATGCAGAAAAAGGAAGAGACAGCACATGAACCAACTAATGGTGGAAATGGAGCAGAACTTCAAAGACAATAATCCTAGGAACGCATACAAATACATAAAAGGTTTAAAAACAGGTTTTAAACCCCAAACAAGTTTATGCAAAGATAAAAATGGACAGATTATAAGTGATACGTTACAAATCAAACGCACGTGGAGGGATTACTTCAAAGAACTTCTGGGGGAACGCGATGGAGTGGATGAGCCACATGACCAACAGGAGCAAGAGTCTGCAAATCCAGCCCGAGGGCCTTTAGAGTCAGAGGAGGAACCCCCAACACTTGAGGAAGTCAGGCAAGCAATTCAAATCCAAAAGAATAACAAAGCCCCGGGTTTTGACGGGATACCTGTGGAACTATACAAGGCAGGAGGCTGCGTACTACTACAACATCTGCACGATCTCATAAGCAAAATTTGGACGGAAGAGGAGATCCCTGAAGATTGGAGGAGAAGTATAATCTGCCCAATAAATAAGAAAGGCGACAAACTGGACTGCAAAAACTACCGCGGTATCTCCCTTCTCTGCACAGCGTATAAGGTATACACATACATCCTAAATCGAAGACTGCTCAAATACACGGAAAGCGGTGTGGTTGGTAAATATCAATCTGGCTTCAGACCAGGGAGGTCGACAATAGATCAATTATTCAGTGTAAAGGAGATCCTACGGAAAGCATGGGAATTTAATATCGATGTCCACCAGATCTTCGTAGATTTTCGACAAGCCTATGACTCGATTAAAAGAGAGAAGCTTTATCATATCCTAAGTGAATTTGGAATACCAAAGAAACTAATAAACCTAGTACGAGCAACGATGACAGGGGCCGAAGCTCACGTGAAGATACAAAATCAACTGACCGACCCATTCAAAATTACTCAAGGATTAAAACAAGGCGATGGACTGGCTCCGTTATTATTCAACGTGTCCTTAGAATATGTAATAAGGAAAATGTCGCTGAATCCTAGTAATATATTAATCAACAAATCAACCCAAATTGCGGCGTATGCCGACGACATTA